TATGTATATGTATATATATATATGTATATGTATATATATATATGTATATATGTCTCACAAGTGTAAGCTAATTGCTAAAGCTAACTTTGAAAAAAAGGCTCTCATTCAGCCATTTAAAACCATATGCAGCTCAGTCTACACTCCAACTGTAGGTTAGGCAGTGTCTTACCTGTAGCAGATACATATCATAGGTTTATACAAACAAATTTCATTCAGCCAGTTTTCAACCTAATTAGCAAAAATTTGGTACACTAGTAGCTAAAGGTCAGCTATATCAGAAATAGTAGCCGAAATTATAAATACAAGATGGCCACCATAGCTAAGTTCAAATTACTCTAATCCAGCCAATTTCTYATATATTGAGCTAATATTTTACACACAAGTAGCTGCCAGTAAGCTCTATCACAAATAGTAGCTGAAATAAACATCCAAGATGGCCGCCATAGCTATTTTCAAATGGCTTTCGCTCARCCTCTGTTTGATACTGTWTATTGAGCTGAAACTTGGTTTACTGGTAGCTGAGAGTAACCTCTGTCACATACTGGAGCGGAGACTTCAAAAACAAGATAGCAGCTGAAGGAACTTCGGCCACTTTTTCTCAATACAAATGAATGGAGGTGTTTTCAACATGAGTGTACCCACACAAGTTATACGTCAAAACGACCGACTCGGCCAGGGGAAGTGTTTTCTTACTCAACTGTGTATTTCATTGTTACCATGGCGACGCAGTAGGCCCACAAAGACACCAAACAAATGCCATTGTAAATGAATGGAGAAGGCCTCAAAGGCTTCAAAACATGAACACTTTTTGAAATAGCTCATGAACCACTGATTTTAACTTTATAAAACTCTAACACAGTCATCACTGGACAGTCCTCTGTCACTGTCCAACACATTTGTCCAACTCAGATACAAAGTGGCTGTCCAAGCAACCTTGGATTAMCATATAAGTGCTGGACATCAGCACATTTTACATATGCTGAATGAATATAAAGTTTGAAACAAAGTGTGAAAGATCTTTACAACAAGTGATCCTCTTTATTAGAGTATTCAAATCTTACAAATGACAAAAATAGCCTAGCAAAGTGTCTGTTAGCAAAATATTTCATGAACCAAAGCACAAATTTAGCCATAAAACACACAAAATATTTTCTAAATCAGTCGTTTCTTGATCTTTAAAGATAAAATTTGCTAAAGCAGTTGCGTCAGTCACAAACACAGACTTAATACATATTTAGGATGGCCACTAAAAAAGTTTTAAACAGCAAATCCTTATGGCAACATTGGACGAGTTTTGCAC